TTTAATTTACGCAGTCAAGTTCAGTATCAATGATGGATGCCAAATTGATGGTGTTTTGAAATCCCCTCTAGGTCTAGCCTGACTGACACATCCTCACATCTCATTTTCTGTAAAGACTCCATCCCATTCTCTCAGTTCCTCCGTCTCCGTCACATATGTTCAGATGAGGCCAACTTCCACAAGGGAGCCTCCGAAATGTCCACCTTCTTCCTCAACTGAGGATTCCCCAGCTCCGTTGTTGACAGGGCCCTCAACTAGGTCCGACCCATCTCCCACACTTCCGCCCTCACCCCTTCTCTTCCCTCCCGCAACAGCAAAAGGGTTTGCCTTATCCTCACCTACCATCCCACCAGCATCCACATCCAGAAGATCATCAGACGCCATTTCCGACACCTCCAGCAAGATGCCACCACCAGACACATATTCCCCTCCCCTCCCTTGTCCGCCTTCCGCAGGGACCGTTCCCTCCGGGTCACCCTGGTCCACACATTCATCACTCCCAACACCTCCCCACAGCCCTACGGCACCTTTCCCTGTAACCAATGAAGGTGCAACACCTGTGCATTTACCTCCTCCCTCCCCAGTATCCAAGGACCCAAACATACCTTCCAGATGAAGCAACACTTCACCTGCACTTCCAAGAATCTAGTCTACTGCATTCGCTGCTCACAAAGTGGTCTCCTCTACATTGGGGAAATGAAGCATAGACTTGGCGACCGCTTCGCAGAACATCTATGTTCTGTTCGCAAAAAAGACCCTGAATTACCTGTTGCCTGCCACTTCAATGCACCACCCTGCTCCCTGGCCAACATCTCTGTCTCTGGCTTGCTGCAGTGTTCCAGTGAAGCCCAACGCAAGCTGGAGGAACAACACCTCATTTTCCGCTTGGGGACCCTACAGCCCTCCGGACTCAATATTGAGCTCAATAATTTTAGGGCCTAAACTCTCCCATGTCCCAGCCCCCCACCCCACACACCAGGTCTTGTTACCACATAGCCTGCCATTACACACCCCCTGTTGTTAGTCACTAACAGTCCCCATTAACAACTACTCACCCTCCCAGCCTGGTCATTAGCAACTCCTTTGTCTGTCCAACTGTCTTTCTCTCTCTTTGGGCTCTGTCCTATCGTTTACTCCCTACCCCACCCACCTCCCTATTTTCTGCATATAAACTGATGTTTTCCCAGCCACCATCAGTTCTGAGGAAGGGTCACCGGACCCGAAACGTTAACTCTGTTTTCTCCTCCACAGATGCTGCCAGACCTGCTGAGCTTTTCCAGCAACTTTGTTTTTGTTCCTGATTTACAGCATCTGCAGTTCTTTTGGTTTTTATTTGATATTTTTGTCGTTTCCATGTGAAACACATTTTTGATTGAACAAGTGCTAATGTCTTATCCCAAGCATATTTCTGATATTTAGATGATGCAATTATGTTTCATAATTTTTGATATTGCAGCCTTCCTTTCACACTCCAATATGCTCCATCCTGCTGTCAAATTCACTTTTGAGATGAAGCAACCTGATGGTGGTCAATGTGCTTCTCTGTTACTTACTTTCACTTATACATTGGGTCCTAGCTTTCTGATCACCTTGCGAGTCTGATACCAAAACAGAATACATCAAACCTATCCTACAGGATATTAGCTATCTTGATCAGATCATTAATCACAGTGCATTTTGCAAATTCATGGGCCAAAGACTTCCAGACTTGAAAAGTGTTGGTCTACCTCAAATTACCCTGGAAAGGCAAAATGTCCCTGAAATCTGAAATATTAGATAAGCAAGCCATTTCTCACTGTTATTATGCGGTTGTTATAGGAGTATGATTTTCCACCAAAACGGTGCTGCCACCAGTCCAAAAATACATTTCGCCAACAAGAAAATTGAACAATGTCATGTATGAATTTCTGATCATCATAGAATCCCTACAGTGTGTAAACAGGCCCTTTGGCCCAACAAGTCCACACTGACCCTCAGATCACCCCACCCAGACCCATTCCCCCAAAGCCCACCTAATCTACACATCCCTGAACACTATGGGCAATTTAGCATGGCCAATCCACCTAGCCTGCACATCTTTGGACTGTGGGAGGAAACCCACACAGACATGGGGAGAACGTGCAAACTCCACACAGACAGTCACCCAAGGGTGAAATCATACCCAGGTCCCTGGTGCTGTGAGGCAGCAATGCTAACTGCTGAGCCACTGTGCCACTGTCAAGAATCTTTCATGGTAACCTCAGCCGGTGTGGGAATTGAACCCACACTGTTGGTGCTACTCTGTATTGCAAACCAACTGTCCAGCCTACTGAGCTAAACCAACCCTCTACTAAGCTAAACCAACTGATCTGATGTGATGCCAACTTCGGAAGCCTTATTTTCCAACAATTAGCTGACAAATCAAACAAAATGTTCCTTTGGTTATTTGTAATAGGAAGAGTACAAACCGTACTCAGATAGATCCACACATAAACCTACTGTTAGAGATGATTCGACAATTAGGCAACATCTGATCAATAATGCCAATGGATAAACTGGCAACTAATTTAAGATAATTGATCAAGCTCATAACTTGGAGCATTCACATTTGTTGGAAGTGATATACATTCTCAGACATGGAAAAAAGGAACATGATCAAGCCTTTAATCTCATGTGAATTATCTAGGAGCTTGAATGTAAACATATTTCTCTGTTCTCTATGGCAATGTCTTGACTAATTAGTGTTGTCATGTCAATTGGCACTATTCACTCCTGTAGCATAAATTACGGTCATTTGAAATTTAGTATCCTTGCATGTGTTGTTAAGAGTGCAACATAAAAAAGTGCTCTGGCAACATGTTTCTCTTTCTAGCTCTCAATATTCAAGATTAAAAATGTTTCATTTCCCAGCGCTCAGAACTTTTTCAAATTTTGACAAGTATTTTTAAGTGAACAAGTGTTTTACTTTCCAAAAACTTCACTCTCCAACTTTTTAAGTGAAGCCACAGTGCTGAATGACAGACAGATATGTGCTGTAGAAATTCACCTTCCAAAAAACTAAGTTAATTCACGTTGCAAATTATGGGCCATAACATCCAAACACTAGAATTTCACCTGGAGAACTACTTGGATATAAAGATGCTAGGAATGAAGTTCTCATATAACATATATCTGTTAATAAAATGTGAAATAAAAAGGTAATTAAAAGAATTTAGTATTTTAAAAAGAGGTTGTTGTTGATAAGTTCTTGGTTTTGGATATTCTCCTGAGGTATTGACGCTAATCTTGCCACCAGATGAATCCGCACCCATCAAAAATCAGAATTTGCTTTTGTAAGCCAATAATTAGTTGTACTTAAGTGTAACCTAGGATTGAACAGTTTTATAAAAATTGGATATGATGATCCCTTCATATGTGCCCCTTTGGCCTTTATCAATCTACTGGAAGGAAATCTTTCATGAGATCTGGTTGGGTGTAAATCTATGAAATAGTCCACTATGGAATTGTTAGGTGAGCAAATAGATAGACACTTAAAGCGACCCCCATCACAATGCCAGTGTGGATTTTACGGGGTGTTATATTCCCTGAAGCCAAGTTATTTGGGAGCTTCTTGTCAATAGAAGGCAGTGTTAATTGGATCAGGATGAGAATTGAACCATGCATCTTGGAAGGAATTCCTACCTTGGAGAGCAGCTGGCCAATCTGATTGGCTGCCAGCTCTGTAGGTCCAACAATGCCAGGTACTGGCTACTGCTAGGAACTTGGCTGGTGGTCTCCAAAGAAGAGAAAGTTATGGAATCTGGACTTAAGGTAGGTCTGGGGAAACTGCGGGATCATGCTGATAGACTCCAGTGAGTGGCTAGTTTTGAGGATTTAGGGAATGGGGGTATGATCATGGGGAAAGGCTGGAGATGAGAGGCGTGTCTTGAATGGACAGAGAAGACTCAAAAAGAAGGTTCCCAATGTCTTGTCTGAACCACCCAACTCACATGGACTGCCCCCACCTGGGGAAAAGTAGTGACAGAGATAAAATGAGGCAGTCAAGTGGTCATTCACTGGAATATAAACCCCTTCTTCTGCCCATGACCTCCATCTCAAAACATGCTGGCAGTGTGGGAGTGGAGGTGGGGTTGAGGGGAGAATTGGTGCTGTAAAATCTGGCCCTTCATGTTATATTCAACAGAATAATAACTTTGTGCCACTTTGGCACTTAGAGCTACCAAAATAAACTTTTACTCTTTGTCAATAATATTTTATTCAGAAACTTGATCAACTTTCAAAGCCTAGGCTAATTTCCTTTCTAAAGCAGATATTTCGTCTCCATTGGTCTTTATGAACTCACATTGAAGGTGAGCAGCATTCTCTTTTTATCCATAGAAAGCTCAACTTCCAACCACTCCCCTCCCCAGATGGTTGGTTTGTGGTCTTTCAGTCAAACTGCCTGGTCCTCCTGCTTATCCCACCCACCTACTTCCTCATTCAATTTGGTCTCCTTTGGAACTGGCTAGGGCAAAAATATAACTTTCCAATCTTATGTCCTTGTTTGGAATCGTGTTTTTTTTTTCTAAACAAGTGCCCTATTGTAAACACATCAACTGTTGAGAGCAGATTTTAATTTAAAAACAATTTTGAAAAAAATTCTAGGTCGCACCAAGGCCACCTCTCCCCATATCCCCACCATTTTATGGTTATAATTGATTGAAAATACAAAACCTGTCAGTCATTAACTCATTCAAGTTAATTTATTAACCATAAGTTGTTGCACTAAAGATAGCTTGGATGGAAAAAAAAATTTCCTCAGATTTGACTAGTTTAACTAGTTCAAAGATTAATTCCTCATCAACACAACTTCATTGATTAATTCACTGCACTAGTTTTCCTTAATGGATAGAACTAGAGAATATTTTAACCCAGCAAAGTTAAGTTGAGAAAAAAATTAAGAGATGTTCCTTCCTGAAATGTGAAAGCCACAGATCTATTTACAAATGTGTAAATTTGATATAGCATGAAAACACTCTTACCTTTGAACAAGACATAATTGATAAGTACCATTACAGTGTTTCGATTAAGCGTTTTAATGAATTCTTGGATTTTGCCATTTGTTTGCTTTCTCACGTAAGTGTTGATCTTTCTTTTTGCTTTGTCTAATACTCTGAAATCAGCACTGAGTGTCTCTGCCTTATAAAATTGCCTTGTATCGTCAAGGAATTTCTTTTGAAGACTTAATCCCTGCTGGATGTGGAGAGAGCTCCCCATCATCATATGCAGCTCACTATTTTCACCAGTTAACTCCTGCAGGAGGTATCTGAATGTTGCATGCACCTCGGCTGCATCGTTCTTTGACATATTGGAGTACCCAAGAACACGTAGTAGCTGATCCCGAGTGTTATGTTTTGCACCCAGTGACAACATGGCCAGGCTGGAGGAGATGCTTATAGGAGAGAAGAAAATATTCTTGGAAGTTGAGCTTGGCTGAGAGGCAATCTGTCTGTAGAGACGCAAGGCAAAATCTGTATTTGCAGCTGAAAGTTTGAGTGCAGACAGATTGCTTTTAGTTCTTGAAGCAGAATGCGCTTGTTGAGTTGTAGCCTTCACTGCAGTCATTTTTCCATTAGTAATAGCTCTTCCACTGTAGAGCACAGTGAGTAACAAAGCTACAGGAATTAGTTTCCTCATCTTTAACCTGTAAAGGAAAGAACAGACTTGTTTTGCAGTGCTTTGAGATTGTTCAAAGACCAAGTTGTTTTTATCTACTTCACCCTTAGGATCTGTACAACTTTAATGAGGATGCTTTTTATGCCAAGCAAGCTTAATGAATTCTAAAGAGGTTCAAATATTGTCAACTTAGCTTCTTAGAAGTAATTGTTTATTAAGTAGTTTCTTACTTGATGTCTGATTATAGTTTAAGGTCCTTTTACCCAAAGTGAAGCAAGCTGTACTTACTGTGACTTTCTTCTCTTTTCTACATGGTCCTCGGTGTTTAATGCTAATTTATACTGCAGAAACTGTAAACAGATCTGTTATGCATTAATCAGTAAACTGACCTTTAGTCTGATGGTCAACATTTCTATAAATGGCGTCTGCATTGCAAATATGATCTGTGAAGCTTGTATAAGCTTTGTCATATATGACAAAACAGTCTTGTGACATTCATTTTTTCTCTTACATTTTTCAATCAATAGAGGAGCTGTCAGTCCTTGTATTATCTCCTCCCAGTCGTTTCCTACAAACTGCTGTTGTTCTCAGTAAATTACAGTTAATTTATGATTACATGATATCTTCAGTTTATTAATTAATTGATACCATTCTACTCAATCTTATTCATCTCAATAAATACCCAGCATTTGATTTGCAATTAATTCCACACAGATAACTCTATTTTTGAGCTGCCTTCTTTCTTGATGCATATACTCACTCATTAACATAATAAATACATATGAAAAAGATAATTTCATTAACTTGGCAGCCTTTCAAATTGTGAGATGATAATTTGCACCTTGGTGATGTTAAACACAATGTGGCCTGACAGTGCTTGCCACATTTGTTTCACACAAAAGCAGTGGCCTGTGGAGTAATACTAATGTATATATCTGGATACACCAAGGCATATGCAAAAATACATATAATATATATGTGCATTTTTGATTTTGGCTCTGATTCTCTTTTCTGCCTCAATGATATTACAAATTAAAATCATTATTTTACAAGATATACAATGTACAATGTCAGTTTGGTTTCTCTGGAGCGGCAGAGGCTGAGGGAAGACTTGAAAGAAGTCTATAAAATTATGAGATTCATAGATAGGATTGATGGAACAAAATTTTTTTTCCCCAGAGTTAATATGAGGGAGCATGCATTTAAGGTCAGAAAGGGAAAGTTCAATAGAGATAGCAAGAACTGCAGATGCTGGAGTCAGAGTCAATACAGTGTGGAGCTAGAGGAAGACAGCAGGTCAGGCAGCATGAGAGGAGCAGGAGAGTCGATGTTTTGGGTTTACACCCTTCATCAGGACTCTACTGCGAAGCCTCTTCCAAGGATGCCAACCTTGAAGAAGTTGTCCTCCTCCCTCCGAAAAGATCTCAGTGGATCTCTCTCTCACTATAACCCCCCGGTGATCTCCTCTGCCCTGAGTCCTGATGAAGGGTATAAACTTGAAAAGTTGACTTTCCTGCTCCACTGATGTTGCCTGACCTGCTGTGTTCTTCCAGCTTCACGCTGTATTGAAAGTTCAAAGGAGATGAGAGGGGTCAGACTTTTACACAGAGAATGGTAGGAGTCTGAAATGAGCTGCCAGGAGTGGTGATGGAGGCAGATGTGACAGGAGCTTTTAAGGGACTTTTAGATAAGCACATGAATATGCAAGTAATGGAGGGATATGGATCAAGAACAGGCAGAAGGGAATAGTTTAATTTGGTGTCATGTTTGGCACAACATTGTGGGCCGAAGAGCCTGTTCCTGTGCTATTCTGTTCTATGTGAATATTGGCCTTCTTTTTATTGCCATTAGAATCTAGATGAAGTAAATAACCATCTTCAACTTTTTGTTTTGAAAATTGGGAGTGACATTTACATTGCTTGAAAATGGTTTGTAGTTAAGGTGTTATGTGGCCTTCTAAGCCCCAAAAGTATTGAGACACATCTAACTATTGTTATCGACCAGACAAGGTCCCCTCACAATATTTTTAGAAGGTAGCCTAGATCCTAACATTTTCTTATTTTTAAGACAAATATAAAGTGCCTTGTTCCAGAGGCAGCGTCACTGGTCAAACTACTCAACTTTAAGCAAAAACACAAATTATTTAAACACTATAGTTAAAATAAAAACAAAAGAAAGAAGAACTTAGAATATCAACTCAATTTGAAAACTTAACTGAATATTAGATATAGAACTATTACTAATTAACTGTTCCAATATAGTAACATCCCATTAAAACTACCTTGGCGAAAAAGACAAATTCTGAAAAATAATAGATTTGTCTCACAGATAACCCAGCAGCAGAGAGAAACCCCAGCTTCTAGTTGTAACCAAGAGAGGGAAAAGATAGCTTTTCATCTTCAAGCCCACAATGGCAACTGGTTAAAGCTAAACCTCAAAACTGAAAAAACCTAGAAAGCCTGGTCTGTTAGAGCTGGTCACACCCAGCTAGGCTGCCTCTATTGCTGCATCTTTAAAAATTCCCAAAGCCTCACAAGCTGTTTACTTTATAACAGACAGCCCAAAGCCTCTCGTTCAATCTCTCTTCAAAACAAAGGACAGAATAATCTCTTAAAATCACAGCACCATCACACTACAAGTGTGCATGCCATCATATTAGACATGGAAAATTAATTACTGCTCTTTGCCCATGTCTAATGCAGGAGTTAAGAGCCTAATGTCTGATTGAGGACCATTTTGTAAGATTGGTTTGCCTAGAGGCAGTAGTACCATTTTAATCTTATTATTGATCAACGATGTGAGAGAAATGATACGAGCTTTAAATAGCAGATGAATGAGAATTGCCTCAAAAATTGATGCAAAATTTGTGCTCTCTGGCATATCCTTCTGTTATTTGGTTAAAATAAAACATTCACCAATAAAACTGATGACATAAAGGAGATATTAGAAGCCTAATATCAAAAGAATAATATAAAACAAAGAACTGAGGATCTAAAACAAAAGCAGAGATTGCTCGGGAAACTCAGCAGGTCTGGCAGCATCTGTAGAGAGAAAGCAGAGTGAATGTTTCAATTCCAGTGACATTCATTCAGACAAGAATAACTCCAACATAAGTAAAAAGGAATACGTTCAGCTGGATAATGATTAGTATAGGACAGATAGGCTGCAAATAATTCAAATGGGGACAAAATTACTAATGATGGATGTTTAGGCAGCCCTCAAAAATAATTCAATTTGATGTCCCTCTGCCCTCTGTGATGTTCTCTAATTTAGCTGAAGTCCAGCACCCCTGGAAGCATTTGCCTAAATCTTTCTTGCGCTCTTTAAATTCTTCTTACCCTTCCAAATTGTATTCATTAAGATAAATAACTTATTTTTGCTATTTTAGATAATAGAAGCTCATGAAGTTAACATATTAGTATATATAGAAGGTTTTCTGGTGAGCAGGAAGATGAGAATAGGCATACATAGGTCTTCTTCAGGTTGGAATGAGTGTAACAGATGTAACTGAGACACATTTTTAATCATTAATCATTTTAATCATTAAAATCATTTAATCATCAAGGGTTATAGGGAAAATGCAGGAATGTGGAGTTGAGGATTATCAGATCAAGTACGTTGTGATTGAGAGGTGGAGCAGACTTGAAGGACTGAATGGCTTACTTCTTGTCTTATGCTAATGGCACAGCAGCCACAAAGTTCCAGTGCTCTTTGCTGACACTCCCTTTCACACACAAGCCCAATCTCTCACCTTAGTCATTGTTTAAACACCAGACCACACAGTTTACTTGTCCCTAGTTACAACCTGCCTAGGCATCCTCTTTAAGTACTGTTGCTCTGTCACCAATGCCAACTGTAGATCTTGTCATTGTGCAGCAGGGGAACATCATTTATAGGTAAACATGAGGACAAATTAAATTCACATGTCCATGATTACCTGCTGCACCCAACTCTCACCTCCTGGAATTGAGTGTCAGTTAGGTGCTTTCTGGCTTGTAGTGCCTGCGCTCTGTCCTCCCCAGTGTCCTATCTTCCTCTTTGAAACAGTGCTCCTTTTCCCTTAGTTCCTGAGCACCCAGGGCATTGCCTCAACCAAAAACAAAGAACTGCACATGCTGGAAATCTGAGACAAAAGCAGAAATTACTGGAGGAACTCAGCAGCTCAGGCAGCATCTGTAGCTTGTAACATTTAACTTGTAATACAAAATATGTTTTTTTAGAAAGGAGGGCTGATACAGCCAAAAATAGCTACAAATGTAAGTTAAATGGCTGTCTAGAGAGGGACAGAACAATGGAATGTAACATATAAAGTGTCATAGAAACTCCAAAACAGGTTGGGCTGCGATTTCTTATGACTATACTGATAACTAGGGGCTGACGAATTTCTGCTCAACAACATATTACTCCATCTCGATTATGTTTCAAACTGCAGATCCATTTTTGTATTTCCCTTTGAAGAATACACAAGAACAGAGGTTAGAAAGCCTGTTTCAACTCTATGGTACTGTGTTAATGGGACTGAACATTCTCATGTGTACCACTCTGCATTTGAGCGTTAATGTACTCTGAAGGTCACAGTCAAAGAACTATTCCCTACTTATCCCTGTATTGCAGGTAAAAATGGCCACTCATGCTGAATGCTGATAACAATTTTAAAAAGAACCAATACAAAGGAACTTCTAACAAAAGCAATTCAAAATCACGAATCTCCAAATTGTCTGTTTAATTGCCTACATCAACATTACTGGTGCAACCTATGTCATCTTATATATTTGTCATGAACAGTTCAGATTCGGATCCATATAATCTTTATTTTACTTTTAACTTGTTTGACTTAGCTCTTATTTCTAATCTGTGGGTATGTGTGTTGTGTTACTAATTCTTCTTGCATTTAATAATTAACAAACTCACCTCTTGTTCGCTAAAAACCCTGGTTAAATTGGCTCCATTTTGAACATAAATTTATTTTGGTCTGGGAGAAAGATCTCCAAAGGGAAGGGATATGTTGCAAATTAACCTTGTTACAACCAACAGAAAAGGCGAGTGAAGAAAGAAGGGGATCCAGTTTATCCTTCCTCATCTGAGATCTTAACAGTTTGTGGGACCCATCTGGAACTGTAATGAATTGGGGAATCTTGCCTGGGGTCTGGTCATAATAAAGGGAACACATACTTTCTGTCACCCATTCAAGGAGATATAGAGAATGAGGAATGTCACTTAACCACTTCATTGACCTCTCCCTCAAGTTGTCTCTCTCTCTCTCTTGCTATGGCAGCAGATGATGCTGCTCTAACTGTTCCCATTCCTCACCCAACCATAGGGATTCCCTACCAAATGACATATGACTAAACACTTCGTTTTTTCT